AAACAGCCTCAATAATGTAAACAGAGACAGAGGCTTCTGGCGATCTCAAGGCATCTGAAAACAAACGGTAGCGCTTTCAGTTCAGCAAAGCCTGAATGGTATGATGAAGAATGCCTTTTTAATGTGCAATGAACAGATGGTATTAGATATGTCCTGGAGACAATGTTCATCTGTCCTTATCATGCATTCAAGCATTATATTTGAGCAAATCTGAACCAGTCTTAAGAGACCAGTTGTTGTTGTTTTTTGGCCAACCCTCTTTCTCTCTTTCAATCTCTGTATTTTTTCACTTTCTTTATCACTTGCTCCCTGCTTTCTGTGCCTGCTCTCCTGTTGTCCTTCATCTCTTTTAAAAGTCACTTTTCCTCTATAAAGCATGTGGGCGTTCAAGGTCATCAGTGAAAAATGAATGTGATTTTCGATTAAAGAGAGAGCAGAGAGGCTGTTGGGAGTTTGGTGACGTGAACAGAAACTGTTGCCTTCGAGATTTTCACAGCAGCAATCAGCAGGTAATTGAGTATTTGCTTAGATCTCTTTTCTAAAGGGTATTTTGGGGAGAATATCACTGATTATTGATCTCATTTCAATGATAAATAAATAATCCTTTGTGTGTAGATATGTCAAGCACAACTGAACTGAATTGCACTAGTCATCTGCATGTCAAAAGTGAGGCATTTCGGTAAAAAATATAAAGTATAGTGCTAATAGTGCCTTTTTATTTCAAGGAAATCAAACATCAGGGGATGCATTCAAAACTGTTTTCCCATCAGAGCTTGTGAGGTGGAAAAGAAAATCTGTCAAAACTCATTGCTAGTCATTGAAATCCGCAAAAGGAATCAGAATTTGGCATTTGCATGTATTGAAAAGCATTTTCTGTTGCTTCAGGCTTAAAATGAATGTGCTGATGATTTTCGGTACTTATTTGCATGCACATATTAGTGTTGTGTGTGTTTGTGTATATAATACGCAGCTCGCACTTACCCTGCGCTACGATGCCGCTATTGAGAGATCAGAAAAAAGATGACATCAATGCTGTTTATGAGCTGAAAGAGAAACTGGGAGAGTGAGTTTTCCTTCCTTTCGGATTAATATATTCAATATTTAAGAGTATTCTGAACATTTAAATGACTTTAGAGTAGATTTTGACATTTTAGTTTACCAAACACATTTAAAGATTTGTCGACTAGAAGTAGAAAATATTATTAAGAAGACTCAGGAGACTCCTATTATTCACAATGTGCCCACAGCACTCAAATGTATCATTAACCATTAATTGAGAACAAAACTCATTACAGCTGAATTATAAATAATGTAAATGTATAATGTCTCAGGGGCTCGTTCTCTGAGGTTCGAATGGCTCAGCACAGATGCACTCAGAAGGTAGTGGCTGTCAAGTGCATCCGCAAGAGAGCGCTAAAGGGAAAAGAATCCATGCTGGAGAATGAGATTGCAGTATTACGCAGGTCAGTGATTTAATAAAAAAAAAAAAACTCTGGATTGACTGACTGAATAAATTTCTTGACTTTATGTTTACATTTCTTGTTTATTAGAGTACAGTTAAATTAAAGAAAATCTTTTCTGATTTGATGATGCAACGTTCATCTTTGTTTTTATTTGTCCCTGTGATTTCTTCACAGAATAAATCATGAAAATATTGTGTCTTTGGAGGAAACCTTTGAGACTCCTACTAAACTGTATTTGGTAATGACACTGTGAGTGGACTTGAGTGAGAAAAATGAAAATATTATACTTAAAGGGGTCATCGGATGCCCATTTTACACAAGTTGATATG